TCTCTCTGGAAAGGAAATTCCCCAAGCTTTGCAGAGCTGCAAGTATTGCCTGATAGCTGAATATGCGTTCTAGAGAAAGCTCCGTTTCGAGGCAGTTTCTACAAGTTCTATACGATCTGGTACCATCTTCATTAATTTTCATTCCTCTAAGATGGCAGTTTCTCAGTCTAGTAACGATCTTCTGATTTTCTCTGTTTGCATCAATCTCACATATATGATGATCTTTCTCAATAGATTTATCTTTCAGTCTATATGCGTCAATGGCACTAGCATCTTCAAGAGTGACGCGAATTGAGTTGTTGAGATTTCTTGCCTTTTTAGCCAGTTCATTGGCGGCCTCATTTTTTGATATATTTGATTATTGCAAAACAGTCGAGGCGTATTTGCCTAAGGGGATAGATGCCTTTGTGGAGGACTTTCTAAGAAAAAGTGGCTGGTATACACATTCCACATTGGTAGTTCGATCTGGGTTCAAAATTTGGAGAATGGGCTGGCCGCATGAGCATTTTTGTAGTTTCTCCATATGTAGCATAAATTGGAGCCAATTTCCTTTCAGAATCCTCCATGAAGGCATCTGTTCTCTTAGGGCTGATACCCCTAGTATGCTTTGCTATTAGTTAATTACTCTATACCAAACAGACGGAACTTTTTGGATCAAGACATTTTTTTATATGCTGATCGAAACTGAGATAAGTACTGAAATATTATTCTTGCACTATCTTTTCAATTAAATGTTGTGAAGATTTATAGAAGCTCGTTGCTTGGGCTCTATGGAAATTATATTTAGCAGTGCACCTAAAATTACAACACCTATGATATTCCTACTATAAAGATAACTAATTTTGTCTTATTTATTATTTTATATCATATGCATACCTGAATTCTGTAGAGAAAGCATTAGTTAATATGATTTAGAGCTATGCCTATCAATGAATAAATTAAAAATGAACATTACAAATTGATCACTGAAGATGATAGTAATATAAATTAAAATTATTTGAAATAATTTATTTCGTAGTAGTTTAATTTAAAATAAACTCATGTGATTTTTATGGTGGAATTACTTAACATCCCCCACACCATATAAATGCAGTTTGTATTTAAACTTTTTGAAACCGAATTTTGTAATGTAATCTGTAGCAATCTGTAGCAATCTTGCTCTTGAGCAAGAAGAAAGGAGGTGAGGACTTTGGCGAACGCAGTTTCCTCCAGTCCGTGAGGCTCGGTAAGTTAGAAGAAGCTGGCGAGTAAACGACCCAACTTCGGAATTCATAGATTGGAATTGTTAACCAATTCTGCAGGAAGGACGTATTGAATGCTTTCTTAATCTCAGAATTTGGCGATATAGTTCCTTAGATGATTGTATTTTTTACACTCATTCAATCTGTGCTCAAAATCATCTCGTACTTTGCAATTTACGCATAAAGGAGTACTTGAAAGTTTTAACTTGAATTTAAGGTAGTTCGTGAAGATACTTCGAGTGAGGATTTTGTTAATTTTACATTTCCATTTTCCTTGAGTCGGGCCAATTAATATTCAGTATTTGGTATTTAAAACATTTTTAAAATAACAATAATATTTGGTATTTAAAACATTTTTAAAATAACAATAATACTTGGTATTCTGCCAAATGGTATCAATTTCCCCCTCCTTGTCTTCCCTAATTTCGTTTTTGATATCCTGCCATGTATATATAGGGAGGATTGGAGTATTGCGTGAATTTACCGCCTGTTTAGCCAAAAAATCTGCCCTTTCGTTGCTCTCGATGCCTTTGTGACCAGGTATCCAACAAATTATAATCTTACTATTTGGCATGTTTTTGTAAATTTCATATCGAATATTCTCGATTATGTTGTTATTTGAGTCTTCGAAGGAGGCAATAGCTTCTACTGCCGCAAGGCTGTCTCAGAAGCGACTCTCAGACTTTTGGAAGTAATTCCATCGGGACCCGGGGAGGAGTTTTTCCTACTTAGTGCGTACATTAATTCTTTGGCGGAAATTGGCTCAATTTTAGCCGGAGGAAAGTTGATAGGAGCCGACTGGGTAGTATTGTCTTTGGCGCTGTAATACTCTGCGAAAATATCCGCCTGAGCAGGCTTGTCTAATACACCTGCGTTGGAGTGAGTGATCACAAAATTTACCTCCAAGGAAGAGACCAATAGATATTTTTTAAGGTTTTTTACATTTTTAAAGACTTGCTTGCAAGAATTGGATTCATAGGAAATCTTTGTCCAGTATTTACGTTTTGCTTTTATTACCTCTCTTTTGTATTTAGCGTTTGCACCCTTATACTCCACCCAGTCGCTTGGATTAAGTGATCTTAGTGCCCTCCTTTTCAACTTATCTCTAAGATGTTTGAATTTGGCGCACTCCAAACTGAACCATGGGTTTTTTGGCTCGACCTTGTAGGTGATTTCTCTGGAGTGTATCTTGATAGCGCTGTTAATTACAGAGGTATAAGCATTAACTTTATCTTCCATATTACCAGCGCGGCTCACAGGCAAGCGTGACAGTGATATACTGACATCTCGCCAATTTGTATAGCTTTTAATTTTTCCAGATCTCTTCTTAAAACTATGATTAAAATTAAGATACACAGGAAAATGATCACTTTGACCCGTATCATCAAGTCTCTGGAACGACAGTCTGGACGCGATATTGACATTTACCATATAAAGGTCGAGGATTCCTCATTCTTGGCCACGACAAATATGAGTAGATTTCTTATTATTTAGAATGATCATATTAGAGTTCTTAGAGTCAATTAGCCAATTCATAAGCTTTTGACCGGTGGGCGATGTAATACTATCTCCAAAATTTCTATGGCAGGCGTTAAAATCGTCAACCAAGATCGTGAGAGGATCCTTAAAGGAATCCAATATCACTGAGTCTTCTGGTTTAAATCTTCCGGAAGGCCTATAGCAATTTACAATGGTAAATGTTTTACCGTAAGCATGCACTTTGATACTTAGAACTTCCATGTCAGATTTAATTCCAGTATCTGGAAGTTTGGAAACAGGTAGATTTTTTAACACCAAAATGGCAAGGCCACCGCCTTTACTGGGAAAATTTCTTTCTTTTAAAAAACTATTGTAGCCAGAAAGAAAAGGAACCCTAGGGTTCCTACTCCAGGTCTCCTGGAGACACACAACAGAAGGTTTTAACCAAAAAACAAAAGAAGACAAGAAACTTAAATTCGCCTCGAAACCTCGACAATTCCAACTAAATATAAAACACATGAAATTAGAAAGTATCATCATCAATTCGAGGAATTTCCTCTTCTTGAAGCGTGTCTGGCACAATATTCCAAGATATCAGCGGACTAGCCTGATGAATAATATTCAAATTTAGATGTTCTGTTTGAAGATTTTCATATGCTAGGCAGGTCTTTTTAAGATCCTCCTTGTATTTTTAGATCTGTTTTAGGGAGTTTTCATACAGGCTTCTAAGTTGCGTATTTTCAGTTTTAAGTTTGTTATTAACTTCCTTAAGATTTAAATTATCTACCTAAAGAGAATCAGTTTTACTTTCGAGATTTTCTAATCTTGCGAATATCTTACTTAAAACATTTCCCCTGGCTTCTGACGATACAGAGCCTTTAGTATATATATTTGTGTTGGTGTTAGTAGATTTTTGTTCTTCCTCTTTCTGGACAGCTTCTGCCCAGGAAAAATAACTGGAAGTCTGAAGTGGTTTCTTCGATGAAGATTCACGCTTCTGACCGTTCACTTCCCCTTTTTTGATATTTATTTTTGGGCAAGATTTGTCTAAAGCGTTATGCTCACCTCCAAATCTAAAGCAACTGGTATTATTTTTACATGGGTCGTTGCAGTCATTTTTATCACAGTTCGCACATCTCGCTTTGCTTTTGCAGAGTTTCGACTTGTGGCCTATATTACAGCACTTGTAGCATATTATGGTATTTTCAATATATTTGTTTACCGCAAAATTTATTCGACCTATTTTGATATCAGACCGACAGCAGGAACCAAGTTCCTTAATCAGAATTATTGGCACCTTTTCGTCCGACCTTGGCTTAGTGAATCTTATAATACACGAAAATTTAATTTCACTTTCTTCTAGGCCAGCTGCTATGTCTTCTAAACTAAGTTGAGTATCAACATTTTTAACTACATGTTTAGTTGTGTACGTGTCTTCAATTATTGAGGCCTTTGCTCCGACACCTTCCAGGATTTTAATTTACAGAATTTTTCTATAGTTCTGATTCTTTTCATGGAAATAATGATTTTTTTTTCTCTCGTGATATAAATATTATCTTCTTTATCAGTAATTTCATTTAGAATAGAACCTTTTTTGAACAATTTACCAACCGGGATACCAGATTCAATTCCTTTCAGAACAATTTTTAACCTCTTTTGTGCCATTTTTAAAAGCTATTTTGACTTTGTCAATAGCGGTTGTATCCGCGCTATAAAAGTTTCCATTTGTTTTCCTCTCTTTATTGCTGCCACTGTCCATGTCATTATCTGGTTTACGCTTAAGTTCACTAAGCATAATCCCAAACAATTCTTCTGGAAATAGAATACATTCGAATTAATTGAATTACTAGTAGAAAATATATACAGATAAACTTCTCCCAAAAAGAGAACTTTTCCGTATCAAAAGCACTCGTGAAAAATCCTTGTAATGTAATGTTGCAGCAGAAAGAAATTTTCGTAAATTTTGCGTATGTACTTCCCCCGATCTCTTACTGCCTAAATAAACATTTTTAATTAAAAAATTAGTTTTTTAGTTAGACCCGTCCTCATCTAAATTAAAGAACTAATATGAACTAAAGCCTCGACGACATAACAGAGAAAAATTGTCCTGAACAAACTTTTGGTCGTGCAGACGCAAAATCAGAATTTAAATTGGTCATTTGCTCATGTGGGAATTCGGTTGGAAAAATGTTGCCGAAAAACAAGCTTACGGGAGCTATTTCTTGAAGAGTAAGATAAGGTCTCGCGCATGTGCAAGCGGTGACTTTTTTTTTTTTTTGCCTTTGCCGATTACCAGCTGCTTAGGACCGCCATTTTGAGTCACGTTTTATCATTTATGGCAAGTTTGAAATCTTTTGAAATTGTTTCATGTTAAGTTGTATTTACCAAGATGATTAATGAAGATAATCCCACCCGTCGTGAACGCGAATGGTGAGTTAGAACCTTAATTCTTTCTGTTTGAATATTAAAAATAGGTTCAAATATCCAGAAATGTAACAATTTGTAAGAAAAAGAAATTTAATTACTGTTAAACGTTTTTATTTTTAAATCGAACTTAACGTATCAGACGTTTTTATAATTCAGCATATTAAAGAAAAGTATATCTATGTCCAAGATTGTTGCTAAACTATATCAATTACACATCAGATATTGGTCTTTAAATTTGCTGCATATATAAATTCCTGCGAACGTTAACTGAATTAAAAGTGCTTATTGCTCAATGTGTACATTTGACTTTATGTAAGCATGTGCAATCAGACTTGTTAAGACAGCCTGAAACTCTAGGCCACAGAAGTTCTTCAGGAGCCCCCAGTGCTGACTTTTTTGTGTCATGATGTAAAAATAGAGTTGGATGAGTTATAGAATGATTTTGGGATCTCTTCGATCCTGGGCCCTTAGGTCTGCACTTTGTAGGTTTAGATAGTAACTAGGATCTGCATGCAGTAAGTTATCTCAGCACTCTGCAAGTTTCAACAGTATCTAGGTTGATACCTCCATTGAGCATTATCAGTTGCATACTAATTTATATTGCAGACTGCATTGTTTTCTTAGCATCAAAACGGAATATGCTGATATATTTTGGTTATAAATAATATTTGCCAATGTGTCTAAAGATGACCTAGTTGAATGTACTAACTGCAAAGTAGATATGGCTGCTGACTACTGTATTATGACGTGATTTCAAATCCCACTGAATGAGCTGGTTGCATGGGCATTTTCATAGTTTATTCCATGTGTGATATGAATATGAGCCAATTTCCTTTGAAAGTCCTTTACAAAGGCATTTCTTTTCTTAGGTTATTCTAGTGTTCTTTTCCATGATCCCAATCACCCAGGCCCGACTTACCCAACGCTATCTTTGCAGTTCCTAAACTCTGCTGCCTGTATCTCGTTAAATTCTAAAACTTTTGCTATGCTCTCTGGTTACACTAGCTCTGCTACTGGCACCAAGACTATTGCTAGACTTTTTGCCACATGGTGCAAACTCTGTGACTACGATATTCTGCCCCTAGTTCCTTCCTAAATTGTAAATATTTTGTCTCCCCTAGTCGTGCTGCCCATTGGTGTGGCTGCACAGGTTGCATGGGCTGTAGAGCTGGCCCTGAATGGCTCTGTCATCACCTAGTTGATATAATGGTTAATGAGGACTGGGAGTCATAGGATTCGTCATGAATTTAGGGTACTGTTCTGTTATCGGAATCAGATTCAGAAATGTATGAATGTAGGCATGTGTATATGGATATATGTGTTTAAGTATACATATATTTGTACTTACATATTTATGCATGCATACATGAACACGTGCATCTGTTCATACATGTATACATGCATATGTATATAAATTTCTAGGTCTGGTCCTGATAACAGAACAGTACTGAATTTAGTCTCTGATAAGGTATGGATGTTTACAGCACTAGTATCTTTGCAAAATGGTGAGTATCAAATCCATTGCACCCAAAAAACTTTTGGTAAAATTGATTATGGAAAGGATGGAAATGAGCCCCTGAATTCCATACCCATAAGAACTTTCAGTCTGATAGAATCTGGCCAGAGTCGTAGCTAGGGTTTTCAGCACCCAGGGACAGCTGAAGATTTCGTGCCCCCTACTACTTGCCAAGGATGGAAAACATTTAATTCTAAAATGTCGTAACATCAGTTTGGCGCCCCTTGGATTCTGCACCCGGGGACAGATGCCCCCCTCTAGCTATGCCCCTGAATCTGGCTAAAACAACCTTTGTGTATTTTGCCAAATTGAACAACTCTATAGTGTTCCTGTCCAATAGAGATTACATAGTGGAATAAAATTTTTCAGTGTTATGTTATGTGATAGTACTTGTAGGCAATGCATATTGCAATCACATACAAAGATGATTCAGTTTGCATTAAATCCCTAGCCATTCATTAGATATAGAGAGGTCAATCTTGCTAAAATTAAATTTCCTATTAAATTCAGAAGAGGAGGAAAAGTGCTGCCTTTTTTGGCAGGGGTAATATTTCTAAAGATAAGATATAATTAACCTCATTCCTAGAAAGGCTTTTATGAACTCTTCCTCCTACCTTTCTTAGAAAATAGCTGTCAAATTTTTATTGTAATAAATTACACATATAATTTTATTGCTATAGTGGTTAATCTTTGGATTATGGTAACTTGGCGATTTTTTGGAGAAAATTTGGCAACCAACCCTGCTACAGCAACCTGCTAGTTTTTTGTTTTTTTTTTGGTCCCCATTTTGTTTTCACAAAGTAAAGGCATGTTTTTTTTTACTCAAAATTTTTTTCCAACAATCTGCTAGCCGAATTACACTTATGCTAGAACTTTTATAAAACAAAAGTGCTTAATCATGATGATGATTAGGTGCGAAATTGGGAGAAAGTCATCCATAATCGCCCACTGCTTGCCGCGTTTTTAAGAATTGGACATACACGGTATCCATGTACACGTCGACCTATTTTCACTTAAAAATACATCCCAGAATTGCACAAAGATGGCATTGCGCACACTCTTGACTTTATCCATGTACACTGCTAAAGTCCTAGCTAGTAACCTTTATCGCCTTACCAAAATGTCGCCAAACTACCTGTTACTATATTCCAAAGATTAGCCGCTATAGTTAGCTTTTTTTTTTTTTTTTTTTTTTTGTGTGTGTGTGTGTGTGTGTGTGGCAAGAGGATGGACAATTTACTTGTAGATATATGTTAAATATCTGTGCTTTTATTGTTATATTTTATTTATTGTTATTGTTATTGCATTTTTAAATTCAACTTCTTCATTGATATTATTTAATTTCTTAGGTTGAAAAATTCTTCTCCAAAATCTTATGTTCGATGTGTTGCATGCAATGCTAATTCTTGGTATTTTCCTGAGAGGAAATTCTTCCGATTTCCTAAAGATCCTGAAAGGTAACAGACTAATTTTTAATTTTCTTAAAATATATTAGGATTAGTGTAAATAGTAATATGTTTATATTTTTTAACTTTCATTCATCCGGAAATTATGTTGTCAACCTTGTATAAGTTGTTCCTGTCAAGAATGGCAGGAAAAAATAAGTGAAATGATAATAAGATATTTAATTATCAATATTGAAAATTAAATGAAAATATAAAGAGATAAATAACAATGCAAATAGATTGAAATAATCTGTTGCAAAAAATTGAATGAAAGGTGAATAAATTAAATAGTGAAAAGGCATGGCATGGAGGGTTAAAAAGGATAGATACAGTTTCGAGTGAAATTATTCACAAACAGATAAAACTGCTTCTCATATTAGCTTCTAATTCATGTATCTTTTTGCTCAGGTGGTATAGCTATAGTCTATTACTCTAGAGTAGACACACTTCAAGGCCCTCCCTTCATGACGATTGAATATATCATCATCACAGCCCAAAGGGAATTAGGAGATTTTAGCAAATCAGAGGACCTTGATCTTTTTCATTTCTTTTCATTTTAGCCTAGAAAGGCTATTTATTAGTCTTGAAACAGCATTTTGCATCGAATCACTTTTCAAATTCTTGCATCAACTATTATTGCCATGTATTAAAGAAATTAAATGCTGAAGAATCTGCATGAATCTATGTATGTGAAAAAAACAATGGCACATAGAGCCATCAAATTTTGAATAACATAGTTCTCCACCTGAGTATCAGCACCCAAAAGTTCAAATTTTATATTTCTTATTTTGTAAAACTTCAACTAATTTTTGATTAACAAATTCAGCAATTGCAAAATGAGTAGTGGCAACACCATGCGGAATGAAACATTTTCATTTCCAGCACCTAAGACTGCCTATCGGAAATTCTAAAGATATGCTGCTTTTAAATATTTTTAACCCAAATACTCTCGAAACATGTATGTGTGTGTAAATGAAAAAGTGCTCATTTGAGCATAAAATAAAAGCTGAAAGCTTTCAGATTTTTTTCTCTCAACTGTCTACTGTGTTTGAGTAAAATGGCCTTGAAGTATCTATCCTAGGTAATGGACTGTAATATCCCCTGAATGTTAGGGTAGTTCAGAGAGTGCTCATGAAATTCATAAATATTCCTTTTCCTACATAAATTATATTTCAGCATGGGAACTTTCTCCCCATATTCACTGGAAATCAAGTCTCAAGTTTCCAACATATTTTGCTCTTCCAAAGGAAAGTGAGGCATACAATTAGCAGTTAGTACAATTCCCAGCTTTACTACCTGCTGAAAGAAATGTTGCATTAATAATATAATTTCTGTTAGCATTGCAAGTCAGTTAAAAGCAAGCTTATTGAATTTAGAATTGTATGCTGTCATTGAAATTAGGATTTCATTCCAAAACTGGATAATTTCAGAGCTGGGATTCAGCTGAATTTAAGCTTATTTTTATTATATGTTTTTGTTACTGAATTGTATTGAATAAAAGTTTAATTCAAGTATATTTTGATTCTTAATAAAAAAACATTAGTTAAATATATTTAATTGAAGAATATAATAACTCAGTTTCAGTACCTGGCTAATTAAAAGTTGAATATATTAATATTCAGTACTTATGTGTAAAGAGGATAGATTACTCCAGTTTTTACTGTTAAAAAATGCATTAAAATTGGTTTCACTTTATGCAATTTGAATTTATGTTAAATTTTATGATTTAAGAATAACACAAAATTTAACATATTTGAATATTGTTGAATTTAAAAATATAAAATTTGGTATTGGAATTTGTATTGAATGTGGTTAATTAAGAATAACAAAATAAACTGAATTTCAATTACACTGCTTGGCAATTTCTAAGAACTTTTTTTTTTTTTTTTTTTTTTTTTTTTGTCATTACTTATACAGTCAAAAGTCTTTAATCCGGACCTCAAAGCTACAATATTTCTGCGCATGCACATATGCGTTTATGCATAGGCATGATACCTTTACGCATGCGCATATGCATTTACGCATGCACATAATACGTTTACGCATGTGCGTTTAATGTGTAACGAACGGTATAAGCTAGGCTAAAATTATTTAATTATTTATTTCAGATAATGCTGCAGATTGCATTGTTCCTTAATCTTCTAATTGATCCGGCTTATTATTTTTTGCAGACTGTTAGAGCAATTTTATAAAAAGTAAGCTTGAACTTTCGATTATGTCAAAAAGAGTTTCCGATTCTGGGGCTGCCAAAGCATCCACAAAGTGAAAGCATGTTTTGATATACCTCTTCCAATAGTGAAGAAAGTGACAGAGAGGTTATTGAAAACGAAAAAATTTCGATTGACAAATTAGTCGGTATTTTCGCCACAGCAATTATAGGACTTGAACAGCGGGACTTTGTAACTGAACAAGAAATTATGTCTATTTATAGAATTAAAGAGAAAGTATTAGCACACAAAACGAAACTTAAACAACTTACATTAAAAACTTAAACAACTTACATTGAAAGAAATGTTTAATAAAGTAAACAAATAAATATTAAGCTTTTTATTTTTGTAAATTTTGATACCCTTTAGGTCATAATTGCTCTTTATTTCATAAATTACGGTTTCATGTTTTTAATTGTATAAATTCTGCATGCCATCTTACCAGATTTAAATTGATGATCTATAATCTGGAAAAATCGATAATCCGGAATTGCCAAAGTCCCGACGAGTCCGGATTAAAGACTTTTGACTGTAATAGACATTGTTTAAGGAAATGAGTCCTAGAGCATGATTGACAGAGATCTGCTGAAGTAATGTTATTGTGCAAAATGGAATAGATATTGCAACATGGAAGCCACAATCAAAAGAAAAAAATTCCCACATTAATGCCACGAGCAAAAGAAAAAAAAAAAAAAAAAAAAAAGATGCTTTTACAGTTTTTTTTCAACAATTACAAAAGATGCTCATTCTGATCAAATTAAAGGCATATATGACTCTTTAAATATAAAGTATAACATCCTTGGACGCTGATGCATATGTGACATCTGTTTTGCATGATGTTCATTAAACTGTTGAGGAGAACTTGGGAGATCATATATCGCTCATTTCTCAGAGTTTAGAGGAATCTTTCTATCTGATCAGTAAGTCTTCTTAGTGTATCCCCAGGGAAAATGCAGATCATTTAATGTATTCAGTGTCTTTATCTGCTTTATGTTGGATACTTCATATACAGGAGTGTTGTCCATCAACAGAAAGTCGACCGGCTAGAGTGTGGAAAAAATGGACTTGTCTCGGGAGAATTTTGGTGCTGATGCATCAGTTTTTGGTTCAGTTGAAACAGTTGCAATTCCCAGGGAGATTTCAAAGTGCTTATGCTTAGTTCTGATTTTACTCTTAATGTGGTTTACACTTGAAAACAGTTGTTCACAAATGTATGTGCTGCCAAATAATGATGACATGAATAACCCAAGGCATTTTTGTTTCCGTGTAAATATAATTTTTAAAAGTTCAAAAAATCATAAACTTCCAGTGTTAAAAATTGAACAGCAGTGAAAATATTATTCACTATGGCAGCCATATAAACAGTATGTTGAAACACTAAACTGATTTTTCAGCTACATGTTCACTTAGCATGCCATAATTGCATGAAAAATATAACAAAATATAGAGAACAATTCCACACACAGCTTGAAATAGGATTTGATAACACCGCACCACTTTAATGATCTCTTGAAGCACTTGAAAATACAACATCACTGGTATTTGTTGCAGCTTGAAAATGAGAAAAGCTGGAAACAATAATTTGGATATCCTCATCTTGATTATGCATATAAACACAAATAATATACCAAAATAGAGATAATCACATTGTGCATAAGTCCAAAAAAAAAAAAAAAATGGAACCACCACTTCACTCAAATGAGTTTTATTTTGTGCTCCAACTCAGAGTGTCAGATAGCTCATCCATCCATATTGAAAACCAGACTCGCACTTCGATTGCAGCAATAAAACATATCATCACAGTGGGTTCTTTATTTCTTTTTCACTTTGCACTCTCTTCTTGCGCCTTGATTTGGATACTTCCGCCTTAGGTAAATAGACATTGAATGCTTTGTCGTAATCTAAATCATCCTAAAATCCAACAATTTGCATAGGTTGTGCTCAAAAGAGTCAACTCTAGGAAATTTGTCTCACAGCATTTTTTGTCATCTCCTTATCATTCAATATCTTGACTCCCAAGCCTATTTTGAAGGACTCCACTCTGGATGCCAGCATGTTTTATTTAATGTATTGTACAGAATTAAATACTATTAATTAGAAATAAAATAGTAAAAGGCTGTGAAGAACAAAAAACAGACTGAATTTCTCTATTTGGAGAATGTACCTCCCCTGTAGAAAAAAAGATCATGACCAGCAAAGGCTGTGTGGCACCCACCAAAAGAGATGTCGAGATGCGTGATAGGTTTGTCCGGATTGTAAATAAAAAAACTCCTTTATTCATAGAACAATGCCTTAAAGCATATTAGAATTGAAATTTATGGCATTGTTTAGTTTCATTTTATGATATTTTGAAAATCTTGTATAAAAAGTAAATGAATTTTTTTTGTGGTGCCTTCTTGTTACTAATGCATCTTTAACACTTTGATTGCAACAGATATCCCAACCCATAAAATTCTTATGCATTTGCTCTTATGCATGCACCGAAAGTTATTCTACGAAAACAAGATAACTTGTGAACTTCCATCAACTGACTGCCAATCAGCAGTTATTTCATGGTTGGCAGTCAATGTGTTAAATCAGTATAGCTGACATCATTTTTGCTGCTTTGTTGGAGATTGGAGAGCTGACCTGGACACTTCCCATGGTAATGTTTTAGTTAGCTGGTTAGTGGTTTAGTTACCTTCCCATAGTAAGCTGCAACCATAATAATGTTAAGGTTTCCTTGTGTGTTTTAACATTTCTGTGTAGGACATGTATAAAGAAGCATGTTTCCTGCAAATACCATAAACAAATTTGCTCCACATTTTTTCTTTTGAGAAAAGATTTTTGTTTATTTTGTAATTTGTTAAGGCCTCCATTGTTTTTTTTTTTTTTTTTTTTTTTTTTTTTTTTTTTTATTCCGAGCATATGACAATAGTGTAGCTTGATTTCAGTTGATTGCAGGTTTCTCAGGTGTATCTAACAGTTTTCACACCATTTAATAATCATCAGCTTTTATATATAGCAGTAATCTCCATACCTTCAGAAAAGAAATACGAGAACTTTCACGTCTCAATTCAAAGTCCTCAATTTAACTTTAAAATGCTGCTTGGAAGAAATGTATAACTGCATTTGAATGATTCTTATGAAATTGTTCTTGAAAAATGTCTCTTAACTGAAAGAAAGGAATTGAATGTATTTCTTTAGATGGAAGATTCCAATTTTTTAATGTAATGCAACGTGAGTATCTTGTATGAAAATCAGACTTACTGAAAAATAGCATTTTGAGCAGCAACCAAAACCCAACAATAAACAAGTGACAAGGAAAACATGAAAATCAGCAACATACAGAACTCAAATTAGGATGCCATATATGAAAATTATTTCATATATGAAAATTATTTTCATATATTTCAGTATAAGAGATTATAATGTATGTATATTTCTGATGCTGAGAGAAATATTGATTTTGCATGTCTTATTAAAAAAACTTTATTGAAAAGATTCAAATGCTTAATCTTAAAACTGTTTATTCACTAATTCCCTAAAAATATGAGTATTCTGAGATAATATAATAAATAGATATTCATTATTGTTGTAATTATTTTTAAGAATATGAGTTTCCAAAGTAATTAAAATAGAAGAAATTTTTGAACTGGTGATTAAAAAATCATTGATAATTATCCACTCAATGTAATTTTCTAAGGAGTAGAATACACAGCACTAACTATAAAAAATTATTATGTGGACAAAAACTGAAAAGAAAGTTGTGCTGTTAAAAGTTAATATTACAGCATTTTGAAGTACAGGAGGTGCCGCTTAATATGATCATGTTTGTCCACAGCTATTTTTGATAACATTAAATGATGAGAAAAAAAAATCTGCATCAAAATGGGAAAGCAATATATGAATTTAATAAAAAAATATCAAGAATCATAAATAAGTATTTTCACAACATTTTAACTAGAAAAATACAGGAGTTTGTTTATGAACTGTTCATAATGTCTTTAATGCAAACGTGAATTGTTCATAACATTTCTGGAAATTATTTGATCAATGTGTACCCCTAATCACAGTATTCAATAGGCATCCCTTATTGGAAGAGAACATGCCAATTTAAAATTTTAATGTAAGCAAAGGAGCAACCTTAATTTGCTACAGATATGTTTATTTTAATTTTAATTTTTATTTATATTTATTTATATTTTGAAACCCAAAAGAACTTTAGTCTCACAATGGTATTTTGCATATGCTTTTTGAAATATTTTGTGATTTTCTGTTGAATCAGCATTTATCTGCTGCATGTGACAAGAATATGATATTTAATAAATAATATAAACACATAAAACTTTAATAATAAAAATCTAATGTGTACATCACGTGACTTCCATACGAGATACATATGTACGTCACAAAAAATTTCTTCTGAATCCATTTTAAATCAGTTTTATGATTCATTTGGGGGAAAAGACTTCTTTAGCCGTCAAAGTGGATTATGTTTTATTAAATATGACACCCGGAATTTTTCATCATTACAATAACTTTACTTTGTACAAGGAAGTAAAAAGACAAAAAATGTTTTGTAAAGCTATCTTAGAAAACTGAACATTGAAATGAGGAACTGAGAAAAGACTGAAAAATATATCTCAACACTTAATGCTGCTCCAGGAATTCTAAGCATATACTGATATAGTGCTTTTAAAATTTTTGTAATTTTACTGTTGAATTGTATATGGTATAAGTGTGAAGAAAATGATGCTTAGTAATAAAGATAAAAAGCAAAAAAAAGGATAAATAGGAGTAAGTTAACAGCATACTGGTAGACTGTGAGCTGAGCAAGAGCATAAAAAACCTTAATAAACCCTTTCGGGCAGTTTAAAAATCCTTTCAGATTCCCCCCCTCCCCTTGAAAAAGAAAGATTTGCATCTGATAACCCTAAAAATTCATAGAGTTATTCAAAATCTTTAATCAAACTAAGGTTGCTTTTTTGTGTAATTTTATGGTTGACTGAAATTGAAACCAAGCTGTTTGGTGAATTTAACTCCTTGGCAGTACTTGAAACTATTCACTTGGTGACATTTCTTCATCACTTGGCAAATTTTATAATCAATTTTGACCTTTTTTGGTGAATTAATCTTTCATTCAACCACTTTAGCTTAAAAAAATTATTCTATAATAATTTGATTATATTAGCGGAATTGTTGATCACAGTTTTCATATACAATTTCGACAAATTTATGAGAATATCCATATGATAACATTGATCACGATCACATTAAGCTGCCTCTCGACATTTTTCTTAAATTACATTTCACAAATTTATGTGTCATAGATTGGCAACAACTGTTTGAAAGATTTTGTATGCAAATAGCAATTATTTCCTATTTTTCCAAGATTCATTGTGAAAATATTAGTGTAGTAATAATGGTAATGATATTTCTGATTAGATTTAATTAAAAATTTTGTTTATTTATTAATTATTGTTTTGCATTTACAGATCAAAAGAATGGGCTATTGCATGTGGTAAAAGATTCTTGTTAGATATGTCGCCAAGTGACCTTTATAAAAAATGTCGTGTATGCTCTGCCCATTTTGTTGATTCTGACTTCTGCACTCTGAAAAAACACTTTTTACATTTACGTGCTAAACCTAGAAAATTTAGCAAAACAGGTACTGTTTTATTTTTTCTAGAAAATTAATTTTTATGGAAGGCAAATAAAGATGTTGCTTCAAAAATCTGGATTTTAAGCAAAATAATTTTTTTTCTCTTTTATGCTATTTATGGTTCTTAATTATACTGAACTTCCAATTGTTTGTGCCACCTGATGTAGAGAAAATTTAGTTAATATGAAAAGGCCATATTTTTGGTAAAAAAATAAATATTCAAGTATTTTAAATGAATAACCCATATTATATTGTTTTAGATGAAGTTTAATAAAAATAATGAAAGTTAAATAGATTTTTTTCAGTTTTATTTGGTTATGTTTTAATCATTTTTCTTTTTTTGGGTTAGTTACATCAAATGCACCTAAATTGAGACATCATTAAATTTTAATTTATATAGTTTAATGGCTTGTCAGTCTGTTCCATTGCTCCATCATGATTCATCCTTTATCTTTTTCATTTTTATTTTCTTCCCACTGCATGTTTATTATCTATATGTGATAAACTCCTTCTTTCCTATCTTATGTTTGTGTAGTCACTTTTCCATTCCTTTAAGTTGCATTATGAAAATTCTTGACGTAGAATTAATTTCAGTAAGGCACAGTTCTATTATCTTTTCATCAGCAGAATATTCTTTTGTAATATCTGACATAGTTTTTTAGGTATAGTACTAAGATTTGGACTTCTATCCATGCCTTAACAATAAGATTCATTGCGTTGAGAGTATTTTACACAGATAATCCACATGTAGATAATCAGGAGTTCAGTGTACTTTTAGAGATTAAAGTTTTGTGTGATGTAAAATGTTGATTTCATTAAAATGATCAATAAGAATTTACTTCTTTAGGGGAGACACTAAATAAATAATAATAAAACAATGTCTTAATGAAATTATTGCTGACAATTAAGTATTAAAATAGGTTTTGTTTAAAGTATATGTGGCTGGTTGTCTTAAGTTTCAAAGAAAGGGCTGGTTGTTTTTATTTATTTTTTAATACCTACGTTGAATCGTATATAGTACAAAGTCCGTAATCCGGACATCCATTATCCAGAATGATCTATAATCCGGACCTCAAAGCCACAAACTTTTTTTTTTGGTAATGTGTTTACGCATGCGCATTTAATGTTAAGAACGTATAAGCTAGCTAAAATATCTTACTGATTCTAAGGAATTTCAGTTAATGTTTCAGATTTTGCTGTTCCTTCATCTTCTAATTGGATCTGGCTTATTATTTTTTGCAGACTGTTAGAGCAATTTTATGAAAATTAAGCTTGAACTTTCGATTATGTCGAAAATAGTTCCCAATTCCAGGGCTGCCTGAGGATCTACAAAGCGAAACCATGTTTCGATGTCCATTAAACAAAAAGTGGAATTGCTGCAAAAAAATGGATAAAGGCATATCCGTCTCAAAATTATGTAAGGGGTATGGCATTAGAAAGTCGACTGTGTATGACATAAGAAAAAAGGAACATTTTGAATTTTTGGTGAAGCAACTTAAACAACTTACATTTAAGGGAATGTTTAATAAAATAAACAAATAAATATAAAGTTTTTTTTTTTTTTTTTTTTTAGTAAATTTTGATACTCTTTAGATCATAATTGCTCTTTATTTCATAAATTACGGTTTCATATTTTTAATTGTATAATTTCTGTATGCCATCTTATCAGATTTAAATTGATGATCTATAATCTGGAAAAACCCAAAGTCCCGACGAGTCCGGATTACGGACTTTGTATTTCCAATTGCAGAGTTCCTTAAAATAAAATGGAAGATTTTTATAGAAATCTTGCTTTTGTAGAAAGGGAGGATTTTGCTTTTAAAAAAGGGGAAAAACTCTTAATGTTGAATTGCACAGTAGTAACAAAAGGATTGCATGATCCAACAAATCATGTTTGTATTTTGGCACCTATTTCTTGCTGGCATGAGCAAAGCTTGCACAGTCATTTCAGCTTTCAGTCACATTTTAGTTTCAAGGGGGAGGATTAACTGGAGGAAAATGATGATTATAAAAGCAATTATTATCAGGCAAAAAGCCAATGAAATTGGTGACACTTGGTGAGAAGGAAATGCTCCGAAACAAAAAAAATCATCAAGTGTTATGTATGGAACAGAAAAATGCAGAATTTTAAAACAAGGTTTTAATTTCTTTTGAATTAACCTTTTGAAGATGGGATGGCCATTATAGTGGCCATAGAGTTCTCTTTTTGAAAAGACGGTATCAGGTTCAGTATTCCTCCTTACTTGCTTGGGGAACATTAAATGACCTGACTCGGAACAGGGAGCTTACCAAAGCTATGTTCAATAAATGTGGGAAGTAAACAAGATACACAGGAAAGGTATACGAAACCCTTTATTTTTCTCTCTTTACAATAATTTCCGGACTTCGAATACAGAGACCAACCACTTGTGGTCTGAACGTAAGAATATAAAAATATAACTAAATTCTAACTAAACTAACTTTGGAATTAATAAAACAAGGGTCTACATGAAGATTGGCCGTATATTAACAGGAAAGGCCGTATGTAGTACAGAGAACTGTTAACACTACGATACGTTTAAAATTATCACGAGGATTAAACCTCTGGCCTTGAATGCAACCCAGCAACCGAGTAAAAACTTGCAAGGCAAGCGGCCCTGCTCGACTAATCACTCCTTCCTCTCTCTTGCTTGGCAAAAAGCCACAACTTAAGTACTTGGCGTTCGCAAGACAAATTTGCATAAATAAGTTAAAGCTTTTAATTCTGGCCGGAAGTAGAAAATAAGAAGTGATAGTAAAGATTTAAAATAAAATAAACGTTAGTAAAACTTAAGATCCTTACAACGGGTTTGTCCACTTTAGTGGCCATATCTTTTTCCCCCATCTTCCAGGCTGAAAAGTGGGGTGAAATGTCAAATTTGACGTCCCTGGGGTTTTAACCTCTTATCTCTTTCAAAGGTCTTGCTTTTGTGACATAGATGCATCCCTCTGAGAATCCATTAAACTACACACAAGAATCTTTGTTGCAAATGGGAGGTGATTTCTTAAAGTGGGAAAGCATTCGGTTCAAGATTCCCCATACTTTGGTAGCTTTTACTGCTACCAAAGCCCCGGCCTCAAAAGGTTAAAGGAACATCAGTGGCGTAAATAAGAGTAGGCAAGGAATGCCATGGCATATGGGTCAAAGGCTTAGGGGGCCCTTCAATGTCCTGCTAAATTACATTTATATGTTTAAACTTAAAAGAAGATGAATATATAATGGAATCCTTCTTCTTTTAAGCTTTTAATTGTGCTCTACCTGTCTCATATATATACATACAGGGTGATTATAATTAAAGTGCGTTTTCAAAATGCTCTAACTTTAACACTACTAGTCAGAATGGCTTGATATTTTACCAGAACAATCGTGAGGCAATGGAATTTTATGTGGCGAAAGAAAAAAGGAATTGTTCTAAAACATACCAATAGGTGGCATTATCAGGCATAAGGCCTAATTGTTAAACACAGGAATGTTGTTAGCCAAAAGGAAATAATAGACTGCAATGGTTTACGACAGGCGAAAAGACGTGTTCACAGCGAATAGTTTCAAGAATACATGTGTAAAGAGAAAACAATAATAACGACAAGAGAAAAAGAGAAGCTTCATGAAACAAACTCTAATGCATTTGTTGTTCCATATGGCCTTCACTGTGTTCCGCTACTAGTTGGAAGCACAAAACCGTATGTCCCACGACAGTTCGGAGTATATCTGTGCTGATGCTATGAGTGTGATGCGTAATGCTTGCCATCAATTCGGCCAGATTCCCAATCTGCCCATTGTAAACAACATTCTTCAGGTATCTCCAAAGCTAAAAATCACACAGGTTTAATCAGGTGAAAGTGGAGGTTACTCTGTTGGAAAAGGACGGCTTACGATTTTATGAGCAATCAGCAGCTGCTTCGCACAAGTAACAATGTCCAGAGGAGCGCCGTCTTGCATGAATATTGTGCAATCCACACATTGACACTGCTGAATTTCCGGAAGGACATGGTTAAGCAAAAATGCTTCATACTGCTTAAATGGTACAGTTAACAGGACCCGTAGGTGTGATCTCGAAGAAGAACGGACCGATGACAAACGTTGCCATTATTCTGCACCACATAGTAACCATTTTAGACAGAAGAGGTAATGGCTGTAGCAGGAACAGATTCTCGATCACTGATATGCTGCAATTTTGAGTATTTACAGAACCTTGCAAATGGAAATGGACTTCTCCAGACCACAGAATGTTCCTTGGCCATCCATTGACCACTTCCATCCAGGCAATAAATCATTGTGCAAACAATTCACGTGTTTCCAGGTCAGCAAGAAGCAACTTCTGCACATGAGTTATCTTGCACGGATAACAGCGCAAGTTGTTCCGTAGGACATTACTCACCTTGCTGATAGGATATCTAGCATTCTTCCAATTCTCCCTGCACTGCTGATTCTGCATCACTTTCGGCTCTTGTAACATGGGCCACTTTTCCACTCCTGCCGTCATAACTGGTTTTCATCCTCTACCTCATTTCAATTCAAATAAACACATCTCTTCGAATTTATCTATCATTTTCTGCAGGCCGTAAGTGGTCATGGGGCACGATTTTATGCCTTTTAATGTCCAGAACTTCCTGATAGCTGTCAATACAGACTGACCTTTCTGATAGAAAAGCTTCACGAGCAGAGCGCAATCCTTCTTTGTCAGCCATGAAGCTTCCAGTAAAGCATTACGTGTTCCGCTAGTGTTCTGCATTTTTATTACAGCTATGCATGTCGTACGCATTTAAAGTCTTGGGAATGCGCATGTCAGGTCTTAGGAATGTGGCTCCAATAGCCATGTAAACCCTGACAACGGCATCTATCGGCACATTTTGGAACTATTTTGTTTTCTTCACCAAACAAAATTCCATTGCCTCACGATTGTTCTGGTAAAATATCAAGTCATTCTGACTGGTAGTTTTAAAGTTAGAGCATTTTGAATTTGGAGCTTTAGTTATAATCACCCTGT